AATTATTTAACATAAATAATTAAGCTAATAATGTGAATTCAAATTAATAATTTTTCTTATAAATGTATAAGAAAAAGAGTTAAAAATACTTTCAAGGATTAAAAAATAATATAAAAGAAATGATATTTTAAAATAAAAAATTAATAAAAAAATTTATTAACATAAGTTGGTGAAAAGAATTATAAAAATTATATTATTTACAATAAAATATATTAGAAGTATCATAACACCTTAAAAAGAGTTATTAGAAGTGTCATAATATCTAAGAAAGGGTTATGATAATTCTAAACATAATAAAATGTAAGAAGAATCGTAAAAAAAATTATTAAAATTTAAATAATTAAATTAGCAACGTGAAATTTTAATTAATTATTATTCTTCTAAATATATAAAAATATCTAATAAATAAAAAAAGATAACGTGAATAGGTGAGAGAAAACATAACATTTGTATCATTTAATATAAAATATGTAAAAAGTGTCATAATATACTAAGAAAGAATTATGACAATTCTAAACATATTGAAAAGTAAGAACAAACATAAAAATATATTATTATAATGTAAATAATTATGATGATTATGTAAAATTTTGATTAATTATTGTTTATATATATATATAAAGAAAATAGTTATAAATTAAAAAATAAATTGGAAACATAAACACGTGAGAAGAAATATAAAATTAGTGTCATTTGAAGTAAAATAAATAAAAAATATCGTAACAAACTGAAAAAGAGATAACAATTCTAAACATAACAAAAGGTAGGAATAATTTTAATAATATATTATTGTAACGTAAATAATTGTGTTAGTAACAAAAATTTTAACTAATTATTATTTTTTAAATATATAAGCAAAATAGTTAAAATTTGAAAAATAAATAGATAACATAAAAAGCGAGAAAAAAATTAAAATGAGTATTATTCGGTATGAAACGAATAAAAAGTGTTGTAACATATTAAGAAAGAGCTATTATAATTTTAAACATAATTAAATATAAGAACAATCATAAAAAAATTATTATAACATAAATAATTAAGTTGTCAATTTAAATTTTTAATTATTTATTTTTTAAACATATAAGAAAAATAGCTAAAACTTAAAAACATATTAGTAATATAAACAAGTTAGATGAACTGTAAAAATGTAAGAATTATCGTAAAATTGATATCATTTAGTATGAAATGTGTTAGAAGTATCATAATATTTTAAGAGAGAGTTGTGATAATTTTAAATATAATGAAGGTAAGAACAAGCGTAAAAATAGATTATTATAACGTAAATAATTAAGTTGACAATGTAAATAAATTATTACTTTACACCCAAAGAATAATTCTAAACCAACAAATAAATGTTAATGTACAAAAGTGAGAACAATAGTAAAATTAGTGTCATTTAACATAAAACAAGTTAAAAGTATCTAACATCCTAACAAAAAGTTGTGATAGTTATAAATATAATGAAAGATAACAATATACATAAAAAGATATTATTGAAATAAAAATAATTAAGTTGGTAATGTAAAAGAAATATTATTATAAATAAAAAATAATTTTTTACAAAAAATAAAAGTTAATGTCAAAAAATGAAAATAATCGTAAAATTAATAGTATTTTGATGTAAAATGATTACAAGTATCGTTACACCTTAATAAAATATTGTGATAATTCTAAACATAATGAAAAGTAATAACTAGTGTAAAAAAATATTATTAAACCATAAATAATTAAATTGATAATGAAAAAATTAGTATGATAAATAAAAAAAATCCTACACAAAAAATGTGTTAACATAAAAAAATAAGAATAATCATAAAATTGATGTATTTTAGTATAAAATGTGTTAGAAATGTCATAATACCTTAAAAAATTATAATAATTTTAAACGTATTAAAAGATCAAAACAAGCGTAAAAGATATTATTATAAAGTACTAATTAAGTTGACAATATAAAAAATTTTATTATAAATGAAAAATAATTCTAAACAAAAACAAAGTATTAATGCAAAAAAGTGAGAGTAAGTGTAAAACTGGAATCATTAGGCATAAAGTATGTTAGAGGTGTCCTAACGTAAAAGGGAAAAAATAGTTGTAAATTGGTGTCACTTAGCATAAATCGGATTAAAATTATTGTAACACTCTAACAAAAAATTGTGATAAATTTAAATAAAATAAAAGCAAAAACAAGTGTACAAAAAATATTATTTAACATAAATAATATTTTTGACACTGTAAAAGAATTATTATTACAAATAATTAATAATTTTAACCCAAAAAATAAGTATTAGTATAAAAAAGCGATAGTAATTGTAAAATTTGTATTATTTGATGTAAAATAGTAAGAAGTGTCATTACACTTTTTCAAAAAAATTGTAATACTTTTAAACGTAATGAAAAGTAACAACAAATGTAAAAAATATATATTATTATAGCATAAATAATTAAGTTTGCAATATAAAAGAACTATTATTACAAACAAAATAATAATTTTAAATAAAAAGTTAAGAATTAACGTAAAATGATGCAAATAATTGTAAAATTGATATTATTTAATGTACAATAGTTAGAAGTATCGTTACACCTTAAAAAAAAATTGTTATAATTCTAAACGTAATGAAAAGTAACAACAAATGTAAAAAAATATTATTAAAAGGTAATAAAAATGGTAATGTAAAAAAATTAGTATTACAAATAAAAAATAATTTAAGTAAAAAATAAGTGTTAACATAAAAAAGTGAGAATAATAAAAAAATTGGTATCATTTGACATAAGATATATTAGAAGTATCGTAATACCTTAAGAAAAATTTATGATAATTCTAAACAAAATAAAAGATAAAAACAAGCGTAAAAGATTTTATTATAATGTAAATATAAGTTGATAACATAAAAAAATTATTATTATAAATAAAAAATAATTTTAAACAAAAAAATACTTCTAAGCGTAAAAAGTTTAGAATAATTAGAAAATTGAAATCATTTGATGTAAAATATGTTACAATGTCATATGTAAAAAGATAAAAATAGTTATAAAACTGGTGTTATTTAGCGTAAATTAGATTAGAAGTATCGTAATACTTTAACAAAAAGTTGTGATAATTTAAACTTAATAAAAAGTACGAATAAGTATAAAAAAATATTATTATAACAGAAATAATATTTTTTTGCAATACAAAAAATTATTATTATAAATAAATAATTATTCTAAACCAAAAAATAAGTTTTAATATAAAAAAGTGAGAATAATTGTAAAATTGATATAATTTAACATAAAATAATTAGAAGTATTGTAACATTTTTAAGAAAAAATTATGATACTCTTAAACGTAATGAAAGGTAACAAAAGTATAAAAATATATTATTATAACGTAAATAATTAAGTTGGCAATGTAAAAAAATTATTATTACAAATAAAAAATAATTTAAACAAAAAAAGTTAATATAAAACGGTGAGAATAATCATAAAATTAATATTATTTTATGTAAAATGGTTAAAAGAAATTTTATATTTTTAACAAAAAAATTATAATAATTTTAAATGTAATCAAAAGTAACAACAAATGTAAAATAATATTATTGAAATGTAATAAATTTGTAATGTAAAAAAATTAGTATTATAAATAAAAATAATTCTAAATAAAAAAGTGTTAAATTAAAAAGATGAAAATAATCATAAAATTAATATAAATTGGTGGAAAATATGTTTAGAGTGTCATAATACTTACGAAAAAAATTGTAATAATTTTGAATGTAATAAAATGAAAGAACAAATGTAGTAGATTTTATTGTAACGTAAATAATTAAATTAACAACATAAGAAATTATTATTATAAATAAAAATAATTTTAAATCTAAAAAAATGTTAATAAAAAATATGAAAATAATCATAAAATTAGTATAATTTAACGTAAAATGTATTAAAAGTATCGTAACGTAAAAATATGAGAATAATCATAAAATTAATATCATTTGATGTAAAATAGATTAAAACTATCCCGATACCTTAAAAAAAAGTTGTGATAATATTAAATATAATGAATATAAGAACAAGTTTTAAAAAATATTATTTTAACGTAAATAATTAAGTTGATGATATAAAAGAATTATTACTATAAATAAAAAAATAATTCAATCAAAAAAATAAATATTTACGTAAAAATGTGAGAATAATAATAAAATTTATATTATTTAGCATAAGATGTATTAGAAGTATTGTAACGCTTTAAAAAAAAGGTTATGATAATTTTAAACATAATAAAAGATAAAGACAAGTATAAAAATATATATTTATAACATAAATAATTAAATTGGTAATATAAAAAATTATTATTATAAATAAAAAGTAATTTCAAACTAAAAAATAAGTGTTAACATAAAAATAAAAAAATAAAAAAATCTTAAAATTGATATCATTTGACGTTATAAAACTTTACGAAAGAATTATGATAATTCTAAATAAATAAAAAGTAAGAACAAGTGTAACAAAAAATTAAAATAAATAATTAACTTGACAATGTAAAAGAATTAATATTTTTAAATTAAAAGAATTCTAAATAAAAAAATTGTTAATATAAAAGATAAAAATAATTGTAAAATTCATATCATTATATGTAAAATAAGTTTGAAATATTTTATTTTCGAAAAATTTTTTAATAATTTTAAATGTAATGATAAAAAAAATAAAAATATATTATTAAAAGTAATTAATTAAGTTGATTTAATAAATTGGATTGATATTATAAAATTAAAAATATATCATTTTTTATTTATTAAATTAATAAATTAAATAAAATTATGTATATATTTTTTAATGTATTGTTAAGATTTTTTTTTTTTTTGTCTTAAATTATATTATTTTGACAATTTATCATAACAAATCATGAGATATCACGATAAGATCGATATATTACGATTTTACTATAAACAACACACAGGTTTAGCACTCTTTTGGAATAAATAATTCTAATTAGGAATAGAAAAAAAAAAAGAAACTTCTAGAAACTGAAAAAAAAAAAAAAACATGGGGAGAGCCCCTTCCAAATTCAAGCAAAAAAATTTAGAAATGCACAAAAATCCCCAAATCTAATTCCTGAATGGAAACCCTAACCCTAACTCTCACCCTAATCCCCCTCTTCAGATCCCTCGCTTTCTCCCGATTCCGGATCCTCCGTTTCTCCCTCTTCTTCACCGGCGGCTAAACCCCCTTATGCTACCCCTTTAATTCAAGTTTTATTGCTTTTCCTTTTATTTCTGTTTGTTTTTATAGATGTAGATGGGAAATCTGTTAATTGTACGGAAAATAAAGAAATAGGGATAGAGGTAGAGAGAGAAAGGGTGTTTAGAGAGAAAGAGATGGAGAGTGGGGCAGGATCAGATGGAGGAGTCGGGTCAATCGTGTGGGTACGCAGGAGGAACGGTTCGTGGTGGCCGGGGAAGATACTGGGGCCGGAAGAGTTACCGGTGTCTCACCTTACGTCTCCAAGGTCTGGAACTCCAGTCAAACTTCTTGGCAGAGAGGATGCCAGCGTGTAAGTCTCTTATTATTTGCTTTTTTATTTTTTTTAATTTGTGAATTTTTCTGGCTTAATACCTTTTAGCATTGCAAAAATGAAAATTTACAAATTTAGAAGTTTTTATCTTGATGTTTATACACCTAGGGCAGTAGGGATTAAGCCACTAAGGATGGAATTGAACTTTGGAAGGATAGAGAATAATGTGATTTATGTCAATTTTAGGAGAATTTAGGGCAAATGAAGTCAGGATGTTCTGGGTCTTATGAACTTAATTTACAGACATGTTAAGGTTTAACTGAGCTTTAAAAGAAAAGTGAGAATGACTCTACAAATATAAGATGTGAAGGACAAATGAAGTGTTTTGATGATGCATTATGATGTGGAACTCAGTTTTGATTCATCATTGATTTGCTTAGAAAGTTGTGAATGATCTATGGTTTACTCCGGAGTCTAGTCCTTTGTTACTCTGCAGAAAGTTTTGTGGATATCTAAATATAGGTACTTGTAGCTCCCTCTTGCTAGGTTTCTAGGGTTTGAATGACATATTTCTGTGTTTATTTATGATTTCCAATTAAAGAGAGGGAGAATAAGAGGGAGGAAGACTAATCAGAACTTCCATTCAAATCTTTTATTCATCTATTGTTTGGATGTTGGACTTATAAAGAAATACCGAAAATTATTCATAAAACCTTAACACCATCACCACCGCAAACACATGCACATTTTTTTTCTTGATGGCACATTATATGTTATATTGCTCAATGAAAGGCTGATGTAATGTTTCGACATCATTAATGTCCTTAGAATAATGTCTAGACTGTTGTGTTAGTTAAGAAGACCAAAAGGATTTGAATTTATCCCCTATATAATACTTGTTGAATTTTTATTGCCCTAGCGATGGCCCTTTTAACCTTATTCTTAACAATGGGACCTAAAATATGTGTTATTTTATGTTATTGCTTCTTTACCATCCATGTTAAATAGATGCTACTTTGATGTATTCTATATTTCCACGAAAGATGAGAGTCAAACATGATTTGTAGAGATTAGTTGAGAGATTATTTATGTAGTTATTTGAATCATTTTCTACACAATAATAAGTTAGCAGATGCTCTTTTCAAGTTTTAGACCAACAAAATAACTTTGCTTTCCACTAGCATTTCTGAAGTTTATACGAAGAGAGTAGCATATTTGAGGCACCTTTGACCTATGGTTATACTAATTTGATAGTCATTAACTGAGAATCAGTTAATGCTGTTATTTATTTGCATTATAAATGCTTTTTTCACTTTGCTGTAATCTTTTGGACAATTTCTGGTCTTAGAATAAATTCCACTAGGTTTAATAAATCAATTTGCATAACTTTTTCCTTGATAATAATTCTTCTGTTGAATGGAAACACTGTCACCTCTTCTTCCCTTCAACTTTTGTATATGAATAACTTTTCCTATCTGGGTTGTTTTCCTTGCCAGTCAAGTTGTCTCCCCATTGGTGTGGAAATTTTAAGTTCTCTCATTCTGGTGAATTGATGTGGAAAATGTGCCAATAACTTGGAGGCATATAACCTTTTAGACTTGCAATGTTTCCATTGTTTTGCAACTATTCTTATGTGCCCATTTTATTTGGAGAGAATTCATGAGATTTCCTTTTGCTTTCTTGCCTCTCTTTTGTGTATTCCTTTAGAGTTAATTTTCTATGCACTGCCAGTGGAATTTTTGAATTCCACAAGCGGTGTTAGAATATTGCCAAATGTCCCATTACCTTTTATATTAGTTTTTCAATGTATACCCTAAAGGGTTATGTGTGACCCTGCTAAAAGGCAGTGGAGTCAAAAAACTCCACTAGCGGTGGATGGGATAATTTTCCATTTTTTAAGGATATAATCTTTACAATTTCATGGCTGAATTTTGGTTCAAAAGTTTTTTTTTTTTTCCTTTTTATCTTATTTTGATTAGAATATTTATGATATATAATCTGCTGTTCCATTTTATTTATTTCTTCTTGTAAGATATTTTTTTCTTCCTTGTTTGTCTCCTCAGCGATTGGTACAACTTAGAAAAGTCTAAGCGTGTGAAAGCATTTCGATGTGGGGAGTTTGATGATTGCATTGAAAGGGCAGAATCCTCACAAGGTATGCCACCCAAGAAAAGAGAGAAATATGCTCGACGGGAAGATGCTATCCTTCACGCACTTGAACTTGAGAAGGAATTGTTGAGGAAACAAGGAAAGTTGGATAGACCTTCTGATGCAAGAAGTAAATCATCTGGTTCTGCTAAAAAGGATTCTGGTGGCTCAGATATTAGTAACGGAAAGCCTGGGAACTCAAAATCAAATCAATCCAGGAGTCAAGATACTTCCATCAAGGGTGAAACAGTGAGCAGCCCTGTACACTTGCAAAAAGACCAAGTCAGAAATCAGCAAAGTTGGGAAAATGATCATGCTGAAATCATACCCCGGATGAGAGGATTGCAGGACTTGGGGCCCAAGACTGCATTTGCAAAACAAAAGCTTACATCTTTTGGTGCTTTGGAAGTTGATGATACTCTATCTCCTCCAAGAAGGGTTTCCAGCATGGGAAGAACCACTCACATTAATGGTAAATCTTCTTTAGATGAAAGGAAAAGGTTACATAAGGGATTTACTGAGGGGTTTTTGGTCAAGGGATATTATAGGAGGCACCCTTTTGTTCTAGTATTGCAGAGTAATGCAAAATTAGAATTCCCTCATTTGTTACAACCTGACTTTGGTGCTGGTTTTTACTTCTATTTCAGGAGGAGAGCCGATGGGAGGTGTTTTCCGAGCTAAGAGGAGCAGATGCATTTACTTGCCACCTGGGTCATTTGATGCTTTGGATTATAAAGAAATTCCTCCAAACCAGATAGAGGTGTCACCTTCCCGTTTTCTGGAATGTGATTCAGGATCTTTTCCTTTTCCTAGTCACTTGATTGAAGATAATACTGGTGAGTTCTTGGAAGATGTTGAATCTGGTTCTTCTGAATCAACTTCCTCAGAATCTGAGTCAGATTCTGATTCATCTGAGACTGAACCAGATATAGATGAGGATATCACTTCACACTCAGGTTAACTTTTCTTATTCTTAATTCTAGTTTCATGCATTCTGTTTGGAAAGATTATCTTGCCTCCCAGATAAATGTTCTCTTCTACATTTAGGATTGTGCAAGCCCTACAGACATGCAATCCTGCTTTTGCTGTTACTTGATTTATCTTGAAAACCTTGTTTCATGAACTCTTCTCTGTAAACCATTAATGGTATTTAGTTCTAAACATGACACAGATTTCTGCTCTCAAATTATTGATTCTGAAACAATTTTGGACATGTATGCAGTACAGGTGCCTATGTTCTTTGAGTCCTAGGTTGTGGTTAGGGAAAGGGAATTTATATGTTTTCAAAAAACAACCTGGATTAAAGATGCTCTGTGGTTCTGTTTTCTGGTCAATTACTTTAACGTGTATATGATTTTGTGTTTCCTTACTATATTTAGTTTTCTGCTGAACTAACTTTGTTATATTGGTTGACTGTTTTTGGAAGGTTTCTACTAGCTTAGTGCCACCTATTATAAATAAGTTGCTGAATAAACTAATGAAGCAAAGAGAAATAATGAAAATAAATAAGTAGATGGGTAGTGGGAAATGCAGAAAAGAGAGATAATGTAGAGAAAGCAGGTACGGGTAATCATTTGTTGTTAAGAAATATTTGAAATTCATTTTTTTTCTATAAAAATTTAATTACTACTATAAAATTTGTTCATGTTGTATATTGTATGCATTGTAGTTTAAAGGCTAAAGGCTAAAGGGTAAAAAAAACCGCTGAACTATAATTAAAAAATCATCCAAGCCCCTATTTTTTTATTGCAATCAATCAAACCCTCCAACCTGCATTTGCATCCAATTAAGCCTCTATTTAGAAGAAAAAGTTAAACATCCCAACTAAAAAAAATTCCATGTGACATCAATAAAATAAACTAAAATTTATTACGTGGTGCAATCAATATATGTGAAAATAAAATAAAATAATTTCTTTTTCTTTTTTTTTTTCTGTATTTTCTCTCTCTCCTCTCTCTTTAAGATTTCTCTAAGGGGTCAATTGAGTCGAAATAGAAAACTAAGGGTTTGATTGATTGTAATAAAATGTTAGGGGTTTTAATGATTATTGAATTATAATTCAAGAGCATTTTTAACCCTTCAGTCTAGTTTAAATTAAGGGTTTATGGAGTAAAGTGGTCAAATTTAATAGTTGAAAACTAATGTTAGACTTAATTAGTCGCAGACATCTGAATGAAATTTGAAAGTGGTTTTAATGGCTACATATGAAATTAAAATTTCTTCTTTCCTTGTTGGTTCTTAAATACCCTATTGCAGTGGCAGAGTCAAGTATATCATGTTGGGAGGCCAATATAAAAATATGCTAGAAAATAATATAATTTACAGAATTTTGATATCAAGATTAACACTTTTATGGGGCCAATATATATAATTTTTTGAATTTGACCTAATTTGCAAGAAAAAAAATGTAGGAATTTGATAACTCTTTGGGGGCCATGGCCCTCTATGGTCCTAAGTACCCTCCATCGCTACCCTTTTGGTTACCTGAGGAATTTGATATGAAAGTATTATGCCCTGTCTAACTATTGGTGGTAATCCATTTATTATTCTTTCTTATTAATTTCTTCTTTTCTCTATTCAGGTGCTACTGTACGCATGGATGCTCGATTAGGTGCCTTTCAAAGACCTGACACACTAGGAGGTGGAAGTATAGGCCATGCGGAGTCTGATGAGTCATCTCTTTCTGGTGAGATGTCTCACTTTTATTCTCATGATCATCATTCTGTGAATGAAGCAGTGTCCAAATGGCAGCTAAAAGGGAAAAGGAACATACGGAATCTGGGAAAAAGATCCATGGATGCAGCTGAGATAAGAGGTTATGATGGATCTGCTCATGGGATGTATCATGAAGAAAGGGGAATCTTCAGAAGAAGGAAATTAGGTCAGAGTTCTCATAGAAATCATGATGACTTTGATGATGATTTTGGTGTGGCTGGTTTGAGTGCAAAAGATTTTGGGGCCCACATGGTTGGTTTTGATGATAGAGGATATTTGCATACACCAAGGGGTTCCTCCAGAAGTAGAAATAGTTTTAATCGTAACACCCTTGATTGGGAAGGCATGCCTTGGGAGAACCATGCTGCTGTGAAAAGAGAGTGGGAGGACAAAGTGTGGCACTTTGATCCAATATTTGCTGCCCATCGTAATTTGGGTGGGAAGAGAAGATCTATGTTGATTGACGTGGATTTGAAGGTCCAAGCAAGCTATCAGAAAGAACCTGTCCCTTTTGTTTCATTGATGAGCAAATTGGATAGCAAGGCAATAATAGGGTATCCCATTCCAATTGAAGCCCTAGAAGACAGTTCAACTGATACTCTTCTGCCCACTAATGGTTATTTCAGTAATGGACTAATTAGCCATGATGGAAGTACTTCACTTTCCCCAGCATGGAGGACTGCCAAGAGGACAAATTTTAGGGTCCCACGTCCTCACCCACCATTTGCTTTGGGTAGTTATGAAGCTGCTGAATATCATTCCTTGGAACATGAAGGAAAACCACCTTTTAAGAAATACATTGTAGGAAGTTCCGATTATAAGGCAGGCCTGGTTAAAAAGAGCATCTCTCATGTTCTGCACTCTCCTATCGACAGGAAGTTCCAAAGAAAGTTACCAAAGAAAGTAAGCTTATCTTCTAGCCAGAAAACAAGAACTCTGTCATCAATTGGTATAGAACGTAATCTCAGTTCTAAGCCCATACATGATAGTGGTAACTGTCAAATGGATGGATTAATCAAACATGAGTCATCTGGGCCCACAACAGTGGCTTGCATACCTGTCAAACTAGTATTCAGTAGGTTACTTGAAAAGATCAATAGGCCACCATCAAAAGCAGCTAGTAAAATGATTCTCTCCACTAGTGATGCAGTAAGAGATCCATCATAGATTACAATGTACATTGATACAACGAAACATTAAATATTGTAAGCAAAATAAGCATTTGCTAATTTCCTCTTTTTGACAAAAATGCATTCCCACCTACACCACATTTTCAGCATTGTCAAGGTGAGGTGCCTTCTTTCCAATAATTTGATTAACCAGGTTATGTATGATGAATATACAAGATGAATATATCTGATGAATATATTGGCATAGAAACGAAGTTCTATATGATGACTATATTCATTGCTTGTAGTTCTGTCAGGCCTTCACGTTTACTGGACATCTGTTTCTGAGGAATCAATGGTACTGGAAGTATAGTCGGGTAGCAAACAGGTAAAGAGAAATTATACCATAAGTAGGCAGTTTGGAATTTGCATGGATATGCATATCTGGTTCGTCAGTCCAACCTATTCCATAATTTTAAATACCACAATAATGTTCTGGATTTTGTGCTTTTGTTTGAACAGTGAGGAAATGGATTTCTAGTTTTACCAATGTAAGTAGATTCTGAATATAGAAGTGGACATTTTTATGGTAATTACCTTTTAACAGGACAGAAAAATCACAACGAACAATCCATGTAGCCAAAAGCAGTCTCACATACAATATGCAAAGAACCCATTCACCACCACCCCCCCCGCTCCCCCCCCCCCCAAAAAAAAAAAAGAAAAAAAAAGGAAGAAAGAACTTTTGCAATTCAATAAAAGCTTGATAACATCCTGCTCCCTTTCCATGGGGGTGAGTCCCCAAAATGCAAGGAAACTGATTTCAAGAATAACTGGAGCCAAAATGCCCGACACCCAGAGAAAATCCATCAAGTGTTTCGATGGGAAATTTTATGATCAAGTGAACTGCCGCCTGTTATAAGTATCCTCATGTACAAAAACAGGATCTTGAGAGCTTCGGGGTGGGAATTGAGGTTGTCCCATGGCCATGCTACCTTGATTAGGAACAGGTGCATCGCCACAAGGACCAGTTGCGTTCTTTGCCGTATTTAGGGTGAGATAATACAAGATTCCAAGAATGACACTTGCAATGGCTAAGACAGCTCCCCCAGCAAAAACTCCAGGTTTCACAACATAGCAGTAATAGTTACTAAAGTACACACTGTCTTCACCATGTTGATCATTGAGTGCAGAACCAGTTAGCAAGAGAAGGAATGCTATAACAAATGTGAACCTGCATGAATATGCAATCAATGCCTACACTGTCAACCAATACAAATATGTAAATAATTAAGAAATGTTGCTATGAAATGTTCATATGAAAGTTTATCAAGAAACAAGTTCTGTTTCTCCTGGATGAAAAAGCATTTTCATTGATTATGCGAAAGAGAGAGTCGGAACACTGCAATGCAACAACCAACCTATAAATAAAATCAAAGTAATCTCTACATAACTGTTGATAGTAAAAGAAGGAATACCAGAAATGTAATCCTACAAAGTATTCTCTACTCTTTTAACTATTAAGCCTAAGCTGGACTACTCGCATGGTATCATCAAGTAAAACAGCTCTGCACTCTTTTAAGTTCACATGAATTCAGGCATTTCTTTTCAATCACTAGCTGCAGATCTGAGCTTCAGAGGTCAATTTAAGCAACAGGTAGAGCTCTTTCCCCTCAAGTTATTCACTAACCATTTTCTAACTAAAAATATCTGAAGCTTTTATTACAAAGTCAAAACCAACATGAACCTATCTAATTAAAGATCCCATTTCTTCCATCTATCCCTGTACATAGTCTGCAGTAAAATATCAATCAAATGAAAAAAATTAAAAAGGTCAAAATTTTGGATCATGGGAAAATGATATCAATTCACTCTTTGAAGTTTATTTCTCAATGGATTCCCAGGTTGCAGTAGCAAGAAAAAAGACACTAGGACGAAAGTTATAATATCACACACTTCGATGACAAGATGGAATACTTTAAAAATTGCAATCTATACACCTCCATATCCCCCAATTCAAAGTTCTTTCTCCAGGAGCATTGACAGTCCAATGGCTGCACCTTCTCAACATATAAACCTTGGCCCAAGCAACAGGCAATCAGTAACAAACATGCTGGACTGAAAAGCAACCGAAATGCCCACATAACTGACGATTTAGCCCTATGTTTCTCAAACCAAATCCCTTTATTTCACGGTTGCATTCAAAAAGCAGTAGCTTTTTGAGCATCCACCCCAAAACCAATAGGCAATAGATGATAAAGCCAATTTGAAAATAAGGCCACAACAAGACCCAAACCAAACTGGCAAGACAACTCCACATATCAGCACCCTAGCATATAGGCCAAATGCCTACAGAAATAAATGGGCCTAACACGCAGACTATAAATATAAATCAACAAAGAACATACAGGGCAACACATACCAGTCTCCAAGCTTTAATATCATTTTAAGCGGTTGAAACCAATTGCCAATATATGGAGAAGCCGAAGCAAAGTATAAGGTCACTATAAACTCCTAACTCAACTTGTGTGGAAGCACCAATTGACATGGTGTCCTCATAATCGCTATGATGAAATTTTGGTTCAATCTTCTGGGAATAAGTGTTGAGGTAAAGTCAAAACTGATATAGCCCCACCAAATGCCTAGCATTTCATTAAGAAATTTCTTCCCAATATCTTATCAAGAAGATGATTCAACATTACATGGACATGGGTACAAGCATCCAAGAAAAATGTGTCTAGATGTTTAGTCAGTGGTGGATCTAGGATTTTTCTGGAGGTATCCACTTATAATATATATAAAAAACTACAGACAAATTTACCAATTTTGTTGATGGAAATGATGTCCAGGGGAAATTTTTCCTTCAAATCTTTGGGGGTGACCATGCACACCCTACTTCAAAGCATGGATCCGCCTCTTTGTTTAATTCGCACCTTACTAAAAGTTCAAACTCACAAAGTCAGCTAAAATATGTCCAAAACTAGGAAATATGTGTATTTGGGCACATCTTCAAAGGAAATATGAATCCACTTTTAAAATTAAAAAAATCCATTCAACTCCAAAACTAATTGTTTGCAAACCAATCAATATTGGCTGCTCTTCATTTTTTAGTGTATGTGCGTATGTGCATGCATATTTGCAACATGCATGAGAAAACCAGGATAAGATTCTGGACGAAAAAATTTTTTTTGACTGGAAACATTTCAGACTTAGAAGTAATATGAATTAGCCATATATGACTTCATTAGGAGATACCAGCATAATAACCTTCAAACATCAGGACAACAGGATATCCTTATCTGAAAGATAACTCCATGGCTTCCACACTCGAACAACTTAAGAATTCTTTGTTTCATCTTAACAAATTTAAAAAGATATACTGCACATATGGTAGCCTAAGACAGCATAGACATATGACAGTATAAAATGCATGACACTCACAATTTTTGTATTGTGATTTTAATAATAATAATTATTATTATTATAAATATGCCCTATTCCAGGCCAGCAGCAGGCAAGTGGGGGAAGCTTTTGATTTTAGAAAAACACACCTGTCTATCATCAAATACAGATTTATTCTTTTCTCTCAAAAGAAAAAATAAAAAAAAATCAAACCAAGCCAGTTTGGCTTAAAATTATATGGGTGATTGAGTCATTGTGTCCTCCTCTTAGTTAAAAAAATAATAACAACTATCATAAAGAAATCCAACCGAACAAAGAGGCCATTAGAGCAGTGCAGTGATAAAGGCTACAGATCCTATGAAGGAAAGGCAAGATCATGGATCCAAATTTTAGTCCCTACCAAAAATAATAGAGGGAAAAAAACATAGAAGGCCAACAAATCAGGAAAAAATAATTATCTACAAGTTGTGTTCAAGAGTTACCAAGAAACGACAAAGAAGATAAGAGCTTTTGTCCAGTTAGAGTTCCAAGTTTGACGGGTCCTTTTGCAGCAAATACACCCAGTTGCGAAATTAATAATTATTTGAGCTATCAGAAGTGCTGCTGCTGCAGTTAAGCCAAGACCAAGTGCAGGACTCCGGGGATAAGAACATTGTGTAGTGGAGACAAACTTAACTTCCGAAGCCTATAAAAGAGAAAAAGGAAGAGTTGGAAGTTGCAAGAATTCCAAAAAACTATATTGAAGTAAACTTACCTAATGCACAAAACAGTATTTGACAACATATCAAAATAAGTAGTAGCATATCATTTGCATTTTCAGTTTCACATGCTCCAATTGAAACTGATTTAAGAAAATTTACCAGCAGATATTTTGGATAAAATAGATAAACCAAGTATCTTTTCACTATTTATACTTTTCTGAAGAAAATAAACCTTGCATTCAAACATTCCAAATGTTCAATCTTTACTGATCTTTAGTAGCATAATGCTATCAACACCATATATTTGGCCTTTTAACAATTTAACTCGGGCTTTGAAAAATAGCATGGAAGCATTTGTGTAAGCATTGGTCCAAAAATTTTAATCCAACAGGCATTTATAAAAAATAATAGTGCTCCCCATAAAAATGGCGGAACATAGTGAAAATGGAGACAAATAAATTGGTTTCCATGGGCAAAAAAAGACCAAACTAATCTAATCAAATTAATCATTGTTGCAAGATCCTGAGCAAAATCAACTTAAAAGCCGAGCACAAAACCAAACTTACACCAGTATAACTGAAAGTGATTTAAACCAATACTTATTCTACATGCCAGGATGATAACAAATGATGAAAAAAGAAATAGAAACCTATCAGAACATTGTCGGAAAATCTCCCATCAATTGACACGTCCAATGACCTCAAATTCTACAAATCAATTCACACTAGTAAACAGACCAATGAAGCACCAATATTTCCATATGCCACCCCGGTTTTACTAATTTCTCTCCTACATATCGTTTTCAATAATAACTATACATTGAATTTCTACTTTTTTTGTGGTTAAGATTGAGAATCTGGTTTTTCTATGTTCTGTTTCATACATCAATTCCTCCAGGAGACGTCTAGTGGGAAAAACAAACTAAAAGAAAAACACTTAGCTAAACATTATGTAAGAGCGAACAAGAATAAACAAAGTGAATGAACTTGCCATAAGAAATTACAAGTAAATTCAAGCATAAAAGAATTAAAGCTCTTCTACTAAAAAACCATTGAACCTCTGAAACTCTGCTTTGTTTAAGTCAAATTTAATTCTTCACCCCTACTACATACAAATAAAAAAAAAAAAAAAACACGATAGATTTTTATTTACCGTTGAAAGAAACAGTTTTTGTTCTTTTGCGCAGTTTTATAATCACCTAAACAGAGGGTAGGCGTAAAGCAAAGCAAGAAAATGATAGAAAAAAGCAAAAAGAAAAGAGTTTAAAAGAAACCCATTACAGAAGATCTAATCAAAACGCCATATATATATATATTTACCTTAATCCTAGTAGCTTCAGCAGCAAAACCAGTAGCGGCTGCTAATACTCCCAAAAAAGCCACAACACTGCATAAAACTAATCCCTTTCTTTCCATCTCTTTCTCTCCTTCACCGTCTTTGTTGTTGAAAACTAAGAGTTCCTCTTTGTCTGAGAGACAAGTTCCTTAGGATTAAGGAAGTCTTTGTCTGAAGGAAACAGAAAAAAAAAAAAAAAAGACGAAAAGTTGGTGCTTGGTACCAAAGCGTCGCTGTTGCTGCTGCGAATTGTGCGTGTGGCTTTGGGATGTCTTTATATGTAATTTTAATATTCTTCTCGCCAATTAGGGGCTAGCGTGATATAATAGAGGAATATATTATTCTATTTAAAAACAAAAATTTTAAACTTCACAACTAAAATTAAAAAGTTAACTTGTGTGTTAATTTATTGATTAATTAATTTTATAACACATGTCAATCCTTTAACTTTGACTTTAAAGTTTAAAAAAAAGACTCGTGTATAAAATAATTTTTTTATAATAAAAAATTAGTAGATTTTTTTTAGCTTATTAAATAAAGGGAGATTATAAAAATATGAAAATACAATGAACCCAAATAAAGCATGCATAGATTTTTATCTTTAAATTTTGAACTATTAAAAATTAATTATTATACTTATTTATTTTCATCAAATTTTTTCAAAAAAAATTATTATTAGTGTACCAAAAATAAATTTCTATTCATTTTAATTTATAATAAAAAGAAGCAAATTTATAAAATAAAACAGAATAACTTTTTATTATTTAATCCAACACACAATGATTTTTTAAAATATATATATAAACTCACATCTATAATGTAAATATTTATAGTATATTAGTTTGAAAATGTTACACTATAATTCATTTTTTAAGTTATGTTTGACCTTAATATTGTGATGAGTTGCGACTCCATAACTATTTTTTTGCAAGCCTCTATTATTTAGGTTGTACTATTATATTTCATCAAACTAGCGTTCATATCATTAATTTTGGAAGAATTGTTGAACTCTTGATCTATCCACATCATCCATTTTTTTTTGTCTCAACGTGCCTTTCTTCTTTATGTTTTGGTTCACTGATTCATTTTTTTTTTTTTTTGCTTCCCTCTTTGAGAGTTGCCACATCATTAGCATTCTCCTTTTTCTTTTTATTTTGTTTCTCACTGGTATGATAGTTTGTAATAGATTTAAAAGAGATTTTTTTTTTCTTACCTCATTTAAAGAAAGTGAAAAGGTTGAGCAAGTAAAATCCTGCAAAGTAGGTGAGAAAGAACGATTGATTGAAAAGAAGGTTGAGGGAAAAAAAGAAGAAGGATAAAGAAGCAAGAAAAAAATCCATTCATCAATCCATCCATCCACAAAATGAATTTTACAAATTTACAAAGAATAAGACTCTACATTGGGAGTGTTACATGATTGTTTCATGGTTTTTTCTTTTTGTTTCTTTTCAAAAAATATCAAAGAAAAAGAAAGGGCTAGTTTTTCCTTAATTTAACCAAAGAAAGAATGAGATAGGGGTAAGTAAAAAGGTTTCTGACATGCAAAATTAACAAAAAATCATATTTTAACCTAAAAAAATAGTTGAAAAGCTAATAAAAATTATAATCTTTTTTTTGATATATAATTTTTTAATACAATCCAAAATTACGTTTCTTATATAGAAACATGATTTTTGAAAAGTCAAAACTCATATTTGTCAACCCTACTTTAAACGTTATATTGCTTATGATATATAATTTTTAAATATAATCCCAAAAAATCCAAAAATCATGTTTCTTATATAGAAATGTGATATTTGTTAGCCTCACTTTAAATGTTATATTACTTTCATAAGCTTTAAAATTATCTATGATTCAAAACAAATAAAAAGTAAGAGAATTAAATATCAAAATAAGGGAAAAAAGATTAAGCCACATAGCAATTTCATGGTTGTCCTTTTTATTTTTTTTGGTTTTTGATTTTTTTCTTTCTAAAAATATTTGAGAAAAAAAGGGGTAGTTGTTACTTAATTTAACCAATGAAAGAATGAGATAAGAGTGGATAAAAGGTTTCTAACATGAAAAGTTAACAAAAGTCACGTTTTGACATGAAAAAAAAAAACGTAGTTGAAAAGCTAACAAAGGCTATAAGATAACAAAGACTATAGTCTTTTTTTCGATATTTAGTTTTTGAATACAATTCAAAAAATTTAAAAACCACATTTCTTATATAGAAACGTGATCTTTGAAAAGCCAAAGCCTATATTTTTCAAGTCCTATGGAAGAAAATGTTAATTTCTTGGAATTTTAGTCCATTTATTATTTTTTGGTTCATTTATTAGTTTATTATAATTTAATATTAAATTTGAATTATTGTTTTTAATTTTATTAAATCTTATCCTTATATTTAATTTTGTTTATTTTGAAAAAAAATAGATTTTAAGTATTTTAATAAAGTAAGTATGTTGGAAAGATTTCAGACATGAAAAGTTAACAAAAACCACATTTTGACCTAAAAAAATGTGGTTGAAAAGCTAACAAAGACTATAGTCTTTATTTCGATATGTAGTTTTTGAATACAATCCAAAAAAAAAAAAAATTCAAAAACCATTATATAGAATGTAATCTTTGAAAAGACAAAACCAATATTTGTCAGCCTCACTTTGAACTTTATATTGCTTGTGATAGTAGTTTTAAAATACAATCCAAAAAATCCAAAAAATCCAAAATTCCCATTTCTTATATAGAAATGTGATTTTGAAAAAGCCAAAGCATGTATCTGTCAACCCCACTTTGAAAGTTATATTGTTCGTACTATTAATTTTACTAACTTTGACTTACTGTTAACTTTACCTTAGTCTATCCACGTGTCATCCAAAGTTTTTTTTTTCTTTCTTTCTTTTTTTTTTTTACTTGAATTTGTTTTTCTTCACCTCACCCACATCTTCACGTAACAGGGGATAAAAGAAATCATATTTTTTTAATGTAACAAAGGACAAAAGAAAAGATGAGGAGAAAAGACAGGTGAGATTTATTTTTTTATTTGAAAAAATTAATAGATATTCTCTTTGGTTTTAAAAAAAATAATGAAATGGGTAGGTGAAAGCTCTTTTTATTTTTCTTTCTTTTGATCCATGCTTCTTTGCTTTTTGTTTTTATTTTATGTTCTTTCTTTTCTTTTTCAATTTTCTAAAGCACAACAATTTAGTTTCCTTTCAATTTTTCAAAGCTTTTATCTATTGTTGGGTTATTTGTTTCCATGTTTTCTTTCTTTAATATTCTTAATAATTTTCTTATTTTGTGAGTGGATTGGTCAGGGAATTGAAAAAGAATTTGGATCTTTTTTTCAAGAACTACTGCTACCTATTCGTTACAAACAATTCACTTTTCAGGTCAAGAACATTTTATTCATTTCTTCTCTTTCACTTTCATGATATTATTATTAGATTTATTTGTTGATTTTAAAGGGTGGTTAGCTAAGCTTCTTCATATTGATAGCCTAAATTTTATTCGAAACAAAAAAAATTTTCTTTTTAAAAATCAGAAAATGATTGATGATTTTTTTTATTTTATTTGCAAATTGCAATGCAAGTATAGTCTTAAAAGGGAACTATATTTTTTAAGCAATGAAAATTGACTCAAAGTGAATGTTATGTTATCACTTGGATCAACAAAAGTGGGAATGGGAAAGAGAGGCATTGATGATTCACTTTGTTCCATTGATGGATGAGAGCATGACTATGACTGATAGAAAATCATTATTGTTATAAGTAATTTTAATAATTATTGCTATTTCAATATAAGTAATTTTAATAATTATTACTATTTCAACAAATAAAATTCTAAGTATTTTAATTTTTACCTTAAATATGAGATTTTAAGCTCGAATTTTTTTGTTTTAATTATTTTACTTTTATAAAGCTTTTTAACATTTTGTAATATGATTAAATGTCAACTTTTCTTATTAAATCAATAGGGTTAAATAAAGATTTTACTTTAGTTCTATTTTGCTTTGAATTTGTTAATGTAAGCTTATAGTAATGTTTCAATTAGATTCATTTATGAATTTGTTATTGTAAGCTTATGGTAATGTTTCAATTAGATTCATTTATGGTTCATTTCATGTTTTGAATAGCATCCAAAGAGATGTATTTCATGATTGAAATATTAATTCTTCATTTTTTTTTTGAATTTAAGTTTGTAGCCACTTCACTTGCTAATTATTTTCCTTGTGGCATGTTATCCTCTTTTTTTCTTTCTTTTAAATTCTTATATTTTGTTTATTACATTTATTTGATTGTTTAATTTGAAGTTAAAAGTTAATTCTTTTTTGTGAATCCACAAAAATGGTGATAACATTGCTTGACTGTTTGGTTTGGTCCTTATATTTTTTCGATACAATGAATTGATTTTTGTCTCCATACTTTTGTGCAAGTGTTTTTTTTTTTTAAGTTATTTGTTTAGTGTTTTTTTTGTTTTAGGTAAACTAATTTTTTGTTCGTTTACTTTTTCAAGTTATTCTCAAATTGGTAGAATTATTTTAGTTGTAGGTAATTTTTTTTTATGGTAATTTTGGAATTTTTTTGTCAAGATTTTGTTGATTTTTCAAAACACTTTAAATGTATCTAAAGCTATTTTTGATTTTTAGATTTTTTTTTAACACTTTGAAGGTTGGATTTGTTTGAATTTATAGTGTTGCATTTTTAGATACTTTAATATTTTTCTAACCTTATGGAAATTCAATCTATATTCATATGGTAGTTATGAATTAATCTTTTATTATATTGATAGTGTAAAATTTTTTACTAATATATATATATATATATTGATTTTATTAAATTTTATTCTTTTTTAATTAGCAAGTTTGCCATGCACTGTTGGCTTTTAGAGCTCTTTAAATGCATATGAAACTATTTTTATTTTTATATTTTTTTATACTTTGAAGGTTGGATTTATTTGAATCTTATAGTGTTGTTTTTTTAAAATATTTTTAAATCTTTTATCTTATGAAATTCAATCAATATTTATATGATAAGTAAGATTAATTTTTTATGATGTTGATAGTGTAGACTTTGTTTCTAATATATATATATATATATATATATATATATATATATATATATATTATTGATTTCATTAAATTTTGTTTTTCTTCTCATTGGTAGGTCTGTTATACACGGTTGCAATTATTTTGATATATATAATTATAAGAAATTTATATTTTATTTTGTTATTACTTAATTGATATTTGTGGATGTTTATTATAAACTATAAATGTATTAATGTCATTACTTTCAAGACATGGATAATCAAGTGG